AGGGCTTTACAGCTCCTACCTCTTTAAAATTGTTCTGTTTTTCAGGATAGACAGCCCCAGTCCTCACAGCTCTCTCAAGGCTTTCTTTGGGGTCTTTAATTATTGATTGATGATCACTTAACAAACTTCTAAACCTCTCCAGGTGCTAAGTGGTCTAGTTTGTGTTTTTCTATTTCTAAGATTGGCCTTTACATCACAACACAATGCCAGGGTAGAGGCCGAGCGACAGAACTGAAGACTGGCTTCCTTGTGCCTGATTCCAGCACTTCCAAAGGCATCACCTTAGCTGGTTGGAATACCTGGCTGTGATATCCTATTGATTTCAGCTCAGGGTCATCCTTGGGCCAATTCTCATTCATCACTTGGGTCTCTGGATGCTCAGGATCCTGAGTTTGAATCTGGGCCCAGGAGAAGTGAGACCCCATGTTACATCAGAGCCATTTTGTCTTGGCCACCTCAAGACCTTGGTTTCGGCCTGCTCTTGTCTTGACAGGGCTGCCTCGTTGTCCAGGCCCTAACTCCTTCTAGGACGTTCCCCAGCCCAGCTCTGAATGCCTGGTGCCTCTGATATACACAGTGTCAGTATCCACAGTGGGGCTCCAAGAAGTTAGGTCATCTGTGGGAAGCAATTTAAACCTTGGTCAGTCTGACTTAGAAGCCTAATTGCCCTCTAAGACCGGAGCTGCCACTTCCAGGAAGAGTGGTTTGCAGACTCTTCAGCCACTGAGTGACTTCCAGGCCTGCCAGGCAGATGCAGGGCCCCAGGTGGGGGCACTGATGGGAATCGTGGCGGACGCACTCTCATCCAAGCCCCAAAAGGCCACATCTCCTAATAGGAAGCACTCACCACACCGGGGAATAATAACATGTCCTCAGGACTGCTATGAGGATCAACTGAGATGGCGTGTGTGGTGCTGAGCTCAATGCCTGGCACAGAGAGGGTGCCTGATAAATGAGCACTATTGTACCGCACTGCTGTTAGCCAGGGTTGCCAAAGGTAGCACAGGCCAGTTCAGGGGGCGCTGCAAAAGGCATTTCAAGCAGAGGAAGCTGAATTGTTTCCAGCACTTTTGGGCCTATGGGAGCAAGCTAGGGCTGTGGCCAGGGAAATGGCAGGGGTTAAGGCGCTGCTGAGCTGACCTGAAGCCAGCTCAGGCCCAAAGGGGGCCCAACCTGTTGGGGAATCTGGGGAACAGAGGAGGTGCGAATAACACCCCAATCGGCCTTAGCAAACATTTGCTGCCAAGGCCCGTGGCAGAGGAAACAAGATGCCACCTCAGGGTAGGGATCTGGGAGCTTGGTCTGGGGCCCAGGCCAGATGGGGCTGAGGCGAGGAGCAGAACCTGGGCCCATGTGCCCAGCAAGCTGTGCCAGCCCAGCCCATGTCAGCCCAGCCAAATTTGAGTTATATCAGGAGAAGGGATCTGTTCAGAAAACTCACCCATCTCTGCATATTTGCATATTCTATTTTGGGGCCTTTTTTTTCCCCTTAGCTTCCTAGAAAAGTTCTCGTCATCAATTCCAACTTCACCTCTGCTGAACCGCACACACTCACTCGCTCAATCCCATCTCTCCTCCAGTGCTGCCCTCTCCCCCACCAGCAAGGTCCCCAGGCTTCTCTGCCCTCCCCCTCGGCTGTGCCCCACACATTCAACCCTCAACCCCTGCAAGCTGGCTCTGGCTCCACTGCGACACCTCCAAAGGTCACCACAGCACCAGGTCAGCCCTCTGTTACCAGGTGTGTCTGTGGTGTGTAACACCCTTGACCATGCCTTCCTCATCCAGTTCCTTCCACTTCCTCTGCTTTGGTAACCCTGGCTCCCACCTTCCCAGAAGCAGCAGACGCTGCCCACTTCCACGTCTCCTACCATTTACTGTTTCCTGTAACACCTAACTCCTTAGTGATTACCCTTTTTCCTCTGCTTTTCCCTGAAAAGTCATATTGCCTTCTTTCATAATGCAAGCCCAGCCTTGAACTTAAAACTTCCTGATCACTATCACAGCCCGGGGACATCCACTACAGGACTTCACGCCTAGCGGTCTGTCAGCACCTCAAACTCACCAAGCCCCAAACTGGTGGTGCATTCCAAATCCTAACCCTAGTTCCTTATTCCTGCCGCACTGCCATCTACCCACTCGCATCCTGCCTCTTCCCTCCTCCTCGCCCCCAGATAGAGTCTGTCCTTCACACCTCCCCTCCGCCCAGCTCTCCTGCCACAGTTCTGGTTGAGCGCCCTGCCCCCCATGTCCCATCTGGAGACGCGAGCCTCCTAACTGGTCGCCCACCCTCAGTCTCACTTCCCACAAATCCAGCCTCCACGCAGCTGTCAGATTATCTCACACGCAGGTCTTCTCCCCCGGGCCCTGCCTAAGCCATTCTAGAGGTGCTCTCTGCTCCTCAGATAAAACCAGAGCACCTCAGCCTGCTGAGCCCTCATCTCCAATTCACCCAAGGTCAAGGGCAGCTGGAGGAAAAGCACCAGCTTTAAAGTCAGACGGACCTGAGTTTCTAGCTGTCCCTTCCTAATCACACACTGTGGAGAGGATTAACCTTGGTATCTCCTGTTCAGTGGGGATAACAGTGCACATTCAAACATAGGTATCAACCCTAGCTGAATGTGGTGGCGCATGCATGTAATCCCAGCACTTGAGAGGCTCAGGCAGGACTGCTGTGAGTTTGAGGCCAGCCTGAGCTGCATAGTAAGACCCTGCCTAAAAAAAAAAAAAGAAAAAAAAAGGGATCGACCTTAACCCCTGAAGCTGCTCTCCCAGTCTGCTCCTTCTCTGCTGCCAGTGCCAGGTTAACCCTCCATGTGGTCTATGGGCATCACTACCTCAATTTCTAATGTCCAAAGCTGCCTCTCTCCCCTGACTACAATTTTGACACCCTGTGGTCTTCAAGGCTTACCCAAACTCTTTACATGGTCCTGCCTCGCTATTCACCCAAACACTGGGCTGCAGCAGTCACATCTCTCCCTTCCCCCAGCTGTTCAGCCATGTACCGCCCTGTTAGATTTTTCTTTCCATCTCAGCTCTGTTGCCTCTTTCTCCAAGCACCTTCTCATCACACATGCCTTAAGTGAGCTCCTTTCCGAGTCACAGCCCCTGGACTTGCCTGGCCCATTCTCCTTGGCTTTCATGTGAACGTGTTTGCTTGTTTACCAACAGGGCGCTGAGAGCTGGGCCACTGCCATGTTTACCTGATGCAGAGGATCAGTGTTTGGTGGAAGCATGGAAGGGTCAGTGAGGAGAGTCCTTAGCCCATGGAAAGTCCCAGTCCCAGTGGGGCACTTATCAAACCCAACACACACTCCTCAAAATGTGGCCACAGGAAGCACAGCCAGTGTGCCAGCCCCCGGAGGAAAGAGCTGACAAAGAAGGGAAAGGGAACTGCGGACGGCTTGATTCTGGGAAGCGGTACAATGGGTACGGAGGTTGGCTATGGTTATAGGGCAGGGTAACCCAAATGTTCTGCCCCACAGCAGGGTGGTGACTCGGGAGCCCAGGCACTCTCAAGGGCCTCAGGGGCAGGGCAAGAGTTGGCACAGGGTGGAACCAGCTCTAGGCAGTCTGGGTCATAGGGACCAGATCATGGGGACAGGAAGGGCTCTCAGCCCAGTTTGATCGCCGCAGTCCCATGAGGACGGAACTAGTCTTTGTCTCCACCACAAATGAACGAGACACTGGGTTCAAAGACAGAGATTCTTGGTCTGTGCTCTCAACCACAAGGCAGCTGGGCTCCACACAGACCACCGAGGCACAGAGGCCTGGAACCCAGAGGCTGGAGAATTCTGGGCCAAGGCAAACACCTCTCAACATCAATCCAGGACTGCAAAGGAAGTGTGCAGAGACTTTTGCAATTTTCTGGAGGAGACAAAGAATGGTGGGGTGTTCAGGACCCATGAGGAAGAGTGGGTTCTTGGAAGCACTTCCTTTAAGAATAAGCAGAAAACCAGTCATCCACAGAAGAAAACAGGGTATGCTGGGGACCAAGACAGGAGGGCAGGTCACAGGAAGTGAATCACCACCACTCTCTGCCAGGAACTGCAGCCCCCCGATGCAGAGGAGGGAGCAGGCTTATCCTGTGTGGCTCCCCAGAGCAGGAGGGCGATTAAGGGGCAAGTTCTCTGGGAAAGAGTTCAGGACACACAGACTGTCCTTACAGGTGGAGCCTTCGGTCCTAAGAGGAGACCAGCAAAGACTAAACGGCCATGACTACGGACAGCAAGACCAGGGCAGGAAGGGACCTCGGAGCTCCTTCCCACCTGGGCTAGTTCCCAGATAAACCAAGCACTAGCAGAGGGGAAGGAGTTTTTCCCTAACAAAGTACTCAAGGAACATGAGAACCGTTTGCTCAAGGTGCCATGGCTAGGATGTCATAGAGAATGTGTGCCAAGGGGGAAGGGCACAAGTGGAGGGGGTAGCATCTGGGGGTCTGATGCCCTTTCTTCTGTATTAAAGCTCAGCCGTGTGTATGTTGGTGTCAGCACTGTTATTTAACTGCTCTTGTATTTGTTTGTTCAGGACAGAGAGGGCCCGGCCTCCTCGCACAGTTCTAGGGCCAGGATTCTGGCATCTTTACAGAATAGGCTGCCAAGGATGCTTGGTAAGTCAAGGCCAGAGCAGGGACAAGGAGATTCTTGGCAGGTTTTTCTGCTCTCCTTGAAAGTCCACCTGGCTACCCCCTGGACTGGGGGCAACTCAGAAGCCCGAGCCTCTCCTGACCACTGCAGTGGCCACCCTGAATACTGAGCAGCAGCCTGCTTCAGCCCTGGACACATCCTAAGGTAGGTGAACCCTAAAGCACTGAAACATACAAGGGTTACCCTAGGACACCTGTCGCAGAGGTGAGCGTGGGTGTCACACAGCATCTCATGACACGGGTCTAAAATCCTCCATCCCAAGCCAGAACCAACCCTGCCCCCAAGACCGTACACCCTGCTTGCCCACTGCCTCCACCAGCTCAGAGTACCAGAAAGGCCAAGCACTGGACAAAGCAGCAGAGTTAAACATCGGGTGTATTGGGGAGGAGACGTGGAGGCACCTTCATGGGGCACCCCCCACCAGTGAAACAAGAGGAACAGGGGGCTCATGGGGCGCCTCCAGCAAAGATGAGCTCCAGGGCAGCTTGGATGTCCCCTCCAGTGGCCTGCAGGGCCCGCAGGCTCAGCTCGTCGTCCTGGATGCCCATGTCTCGCAGCTGCTGCAGCTGGGGCTGCCACTGGCTCTGTGGAGACAAGGAGGCAGAGGCTGTCAGCTGGGGCATGGATGAAGACTCACCTCGTGGAGCTGTCAGAGGAGAAAGAACAGGGGACCTTTGCAAGGTCGCTGGTGTGGAGGTCCACAGCGCAGGGACTTACTTAGGAAGATGAAAAGATAGACTTGAGATTGAAAAGAACAGAGCGTTCACAGTAAAAAAGATCAAAAGAGAATGCATAAATTACTCAAGGTCTAAATTCTGAAAGATTAAATTGCTCTTTCTGCTCTCTGTACACACACACACACACACACACACACACACACACATATAAATGGAAGAAGGATTAAATTTTAAAACTAGTTTTGTTTTTTTAACATGATGGGTATTGAAAAGCCTGGCACGTACTCCCACCCCTACCCCAGATAACCAGTATTATTTCCTTTGAGGAAATAGAAACACATAGTTCCACATTTACCCTTTTCTTATACCACTGTCCCACATCCACCCCTACTCTGCTTTATTTTTCTAACATATCCAATCTACCCTGGAGATCTTCCCATGCCGGTAGAATAAAGACCTTTTTAATAATCATATAATATTCCAACCCACGGATAACCTTAAATCTAGCAACACTGGGCTTTTTCCAGTCTCTTCTATTACAAACAATGCTGTGATGACCAACGCTGTAAAAATGCCATCTTCTATAGACACAAACATCTCCAGACAAATTCCAAGAAATGGGATTGCTAGGAATTATATGGTTTAACACCCCCCTGTATTTCCTTTTAAGTAGTCCGCTCACTTTCCTCGCCCATTTTTCTATGGCGCTACTGGTCTTAGTTCCAGAATCTACACATTTAGATGTTGTCCTTCATGTGACATGTGCTATAGGCCCTCCTCAGTTTATTGCTAGCTTTTATACTTTGCTTAGACTTTGCTGTTGTTTGGGCTTGGTTTGCCAAGCAAGTATGTTTACTTTCTGTGTAGTCCAGGCTGGTCTTGAACTTACTATGTAGCCCAGGCTGGCCTCAAACTCATGGTGATCCTCCTGCCTCAGCCTCCTGAGTGCTGGGATTACAGGCGTGCATCACCACATCCAGAGATGTTTACTTTTATACAGTCAACATTCATAACTCTTATTTAATGGCTTCTGGGTTCTGAGTTTCAGCCACAAAAGGCCTTTTCTCATAAAGGATTTCAAGAAATTCATCCACATTTTCTTCTAGGACTTTCCTAGCTTATTAACATCCTTAAGTATACAACTTAGGGAAAACAGTGAGTTCACACATGGAAAGGAGAAGGCAGCAGGGAAGGATGCAAATGCAGAGAGGCCGGCAGGGTAAGACTGTGCAGGGCTGAAAGAAAGCACGTATCAACTCGCACTCATCTGACAGCCAGGCAGAGCCAAGGAAAACTCTGTGCTGCACAGCCAAGTGAACAGGCATCTCGTGGGGAAGGCGGAAGTGGAGAAGACAAGCTGTCCGTGTGTCTCGCCTCCACTCCCCGCAATGTCCGTGAGGGCCACATGGGATATGGAAAGCACACAGGCTCAGTGCTATCCCTGCCACCTCACGGCTCTGTGAGCTGGACAAGCGGCAGGAATGGCCCTCCCACAACAGGCTCACTGCGAGGAGTAAAGGAGGCCCACATAAAGCAAAGAGCCCATGAATGGAGACCCGGGATAAAATGCTAACACTTTAGATCTTTCACTAGCTGCTACAGTGACCTTCCCCTCCCTGGTGACTGCCAGACCAAGTCTAATCTTTGGTTGGCATTCAAGCCTGAGGCTTCTGCTCTCCCTTCCTTTGACTCCATCTCAGGACCTTCTAAACAAGAGTACATCACAGATGTGTGGACACACAGGTGCTCAGACAGGTAGTTGCCTCTGCTTGGAAACTATCCCCTCCCAACTACCAACCTGTTCCCTGCCTGGCTAACCTCTAACCAATTCTCTGATGACTTCCTCAACACTATGTGCTCAGAAAGGTTCTGTCCGGCCTAGGCCTGTACATCAAGCAGTGGGTCTTGTTGCACCTCAGTTCTATACCTGCCTGGTGCCCTCCATGGCAGGGAAGAGGACAGTGGCATCTGCACCCAGACTGAGTACTTTTTAGTGCGTACTGATTGAAACCGCCATGAGGATCTAGGCCAGGCAGTCAAGGGAACTGGAATATGGTCACTAGGAGGCAGGATCAGAAACCAGAAGTACAACTGCCCCTGCTGGGACACCCCTTACCTGTCACACTGCCATTGCCCCCACTGTCCCTAGAGGAAAGCATGACCAGTGAGAAGGACCTCTGGAGTGCAAGAGAGGTCTGGCATGCTAAGTAATGAGATGGCAACCAGAAACAGGAAGTGGAAAGACTGACCTGCAGGTTGGGCTGCCCAGAGGCCTGTAGGGCATGCTGGAGGGCTTGGCTGAAGAGATCGTTGGTGATGGGTGTCCCTGACTGGACTCCAGAGGACATTGGTGAGGTGCCTGAGGAATGGCCCTACAGAAAAACAGTAGTCAGTGCCACCCTCAGAGCCACTGCTATCCCACAACAGATAGCCACATCATCCAGCAGTGCTCCTGGGTCACCCAACTACCACCTCCCACAGAGCCCCTCATGAGACAACCACACAGAGGCACCTAAGAGATATCTAGGTGGACAGGAAAGGTTCCATTCTCCTCTGCTCCAAGAAAACAGACCCTGAGCCCTTAACCTACTAACAGAAACAGATTACCATGGGAGATGACCTCAGAAGCTGGGGTGACTCGCCACCAGGGAGCCAGTGACATCTAGTCCATCAGGGATGAGGGATGGCATATCACATAAGGGGAGGTTCTTCTGAACTATCCAACCAAACCTGTCCTAATCCCCTTACTTCTGCCTAAAGGCAAGCGAAGGGGGAAGCCTCCTGAACTTCAGGAAGAAATCCCCCCAGGGCTCAGCTCAAAGCAGATCTCACACTGGGGTCAGGAAAACAAATCTGTCTACTACCAGGAGCTTCTCCCTGGGGGCTGCCTTGAGGTTCCCAGCCCTCTCCCCATACCTGGGTGCCAGGAGTCGGTGTGTGAGAGCTGCTCTCTGGGGTGCTGGCTAGGGCTAAGGCAGTGGCCAGCTCGCTCTGGGTGATGGGCCTGGGCCCAGCAGCTCCGCTGTACCCCAGGGACGCTGGGCGGGAGCTAGGGGTGCTGCTAGAGGGTGTAGATCGGGTGCTCTGGGGAAGAAAGGCATCCAGAATCAGGGAGGTGATACAAAGGAACCCCACCCACTCCAGGAAGAGAAGTTCCATTAGGAATATAGGAAAGCAAGAGTAGGACACGGTGTTGGCATCAAAAGGCATAGGACAGTGATGTCGAGCTTTTTAGAGCTTTCAATGATACGAACAGCCTGCTGCGGCACATGTGCTATAGGCTTGCCGCCACTGGCCTCAGACCACCTCCCAGCCTTGAGAATGGCACATCTCAGGGAGGGGCTCGTGTCCAGCAGCATGTCCCCAGAGGGCAGGCGGCCAGGCCACTTACTGGGTGAAAGTCTTCCTCATCATCCGAGAGCCCTTCAAACAGGAAGCCACCTGGAGGAGAGTGAACAGATTTCAGGAGGAAGAACAGAAAGGCACAGGCGCAGCTCCAGATCTCAGCTCCAGTTACTCTCCAAATTCATATTTCATCACTCCCCTCGGAAAATTACAGGACAGATGCACTTCCTGACTCAAACTGAGCGCTCCCAAGGAACGCCCTCTGCCAACGCTATACATAGCTGCTGAGCACAGCAAACCCGGGCACTACCAGCTCCTGAGGGGCCCACATCCGCTCCTCTGGGCCTTACCTGGCATATCCCGGTAGGAGCTGGAAGGCATGCTCCGTGAAGAGGCGTCAGCACCAGGCATTGGGGTGCTGCCTGCTACTGAGTGCAGAACCAGGATGATGGCATTGACCAGGGCTGGGTGAGCAGGCACCAATCTAGAAGAAACCCAACGGTGACTAAGAAGGAAAGAGCACCCTGGCCGTGACAGTTCTGGGTGCTCCCTCAGGACAAGTAGCTTATGCCAGCCCTGAAACCCCTCAATCTTCAGCATCTTCTCTCAGGAAGCTTTGTCCTGCAAATCTGCCCACAGCAATGGCAGCAAGACTCTCAATTTCTGGGATCCAGTGCAGATTCTCCCTGTCACCTCCAGCAAGGCATGATGGGAAGCACTAGCCTGGTAGGTTCAGCATTCAACATCTGATCTAGATGCCATCCCTATCATGCTGGCACCCTTGCCCTCCTCCCCCCAGGATAGGGCTTTTTTCTTCACTTGCAAGGTAAGGGGATATAGCAGTGCTAATGTTTTATGAACCTGCTCACCTGCTTCTCCTTTTCCCAGCTTAGAATCCTTCCAAGGCTCTCTAACATCTACTGAACAAAATCCATATTACCTGGCAGGAGGCCCCTCTCCCTCAGAAGGATGCTGCATCCTGAGCCTTTGCATGCCCCTGCCCTGGGGCTTTGCCATTACCCGTGATCCCTTGATCCTCCTCACTGCCTGACATATTTAGAAGGCAGATCCAAGTGATAGACTGAGGACAGGCTCCAAGGGCAGAATCTAAGGGGACAATTAGGATTCTGGCTTAACTGCATGAAGCGAGAGAAGGTGCACTTCACTGATGGCTATACTTACGTATCCAGCATATTGGGATCAGCAAAGACAGAGAAGAGATCCTTGTCCTGGAGAACCCCTGAAAGTGAACTGGGATACCCTCAGAGAACAGAAATTTGGCCAGATCCAGAAGGACTTTAAGACTCTGAGCAACCAGCTCAAGAGAACCCAAACCAGCCCTGGTGAGAAGCAGTGGAAACAAAGCCCCAAGCAGCACAACCCAAGTACTCTCCACCTTGTCCCAAAGGAGATGCTCCCTGCTGCCCACCTCCCCTGCATTGAAGTCACAGACTGAGCAACCCATGCCTGTCTCTTCTGCATCTCTGGTTTCTTCCCTTCGCCATCAGCGTGTGCAGGAAGGCTTCCCTGACTGCTGGGATTCAGGCTAACCTCACCCTCACTTGGTACTCTCACACCTCACTTAGGAAGTTACTTAGGCCATTATCACTCTGGAGGACTGAGAGCGTTTAGGGCTGGGAATGTGACACATCTTGATTATTCTCCCTTTTCCTGTAGGACCAATGATTCTTTAAAAGATAGTCAGAGTCTCGTTAGGGTCACTGCCTTCTCTTGCTTTCTCCTTTTCCAACTCCTTTTCCTCAAATCCTCCCCTGCACTTACCTAAAGCAATGGGGTCGCTACTGAGGCCTGGGGTGGCCACAATGATCTGGTCCAGAGACTCCTTATTGCTGAGCATCTTAAAGACCTGCAGGAGAAGCAAGGAGGGCTGAGCACTGCAACCAGCTCCATGCACACATCAGATGCCCACCCTCTGCTGCAGGGCTCTGCCCTCTAAATGCCTGCATATCTATCACCACAATGGAAAACCAGCCCCAGAAACAGATGAGCCTTTTTGTTATGAGATCAAGGCTTACCGGAAGGGAAACAAAGAATTTTTTAAAAAAGACATGGTAAAGCTCCAACCTCTGTGGTCCTTTCTAATACTTCCAAAATACAAGCTCTCATTACAAGCCCAACAACAAAGGTTTCACCAGGTCCCCCAAGCTCTTTTCAATCGCTATACAATTACTGTTTCACATTCACACATACTAGGAAGTTCACAGCTGTATTAACATTGCCTGTCAACTCTCTGATAGAAAGACATCAGCCCACTTGTCCATGGAGGAAATCTATGCTAAGGGTTGGTAGGCAGGCAGCTCAGCTGAAATCAAAGAATGAGACCAGGCAGAAACAGTGTGTGGATCCTCCACAGTCCTTTCATGAGGCCAGTGTAAGGAGAGGGTGATCACCATCATTAGAAAGAATCTAATGATTGCTGATCCAATGCCTGGCCAAAACAGGTTCTTTAGAGAAGACAGGGCTCTATGGAGGCCCAAAGACATGGCAGAAACTCTCAGAGGAATTCCTGGTTACACTGGCAATGGGCTCCAGGATCCCACTCCACACCAGCATTCACACCCTCTCCTGCGACCACAGCACACACTCACCGCTTCCCTGTAGGAGGAGCTGCTGTGCAAGGCAGTGTGCAGCACCCGGAACTCCCTCTGTGCAGCTACTTTGTCCACAGGTTCTGGGGGACAAGATACTCAGAGTTACCCAGCAGCCCAGGCCCTGTCCTTGCCCCGGATGTGACAGCATCATTTCAGCATGTGCCGTAGTCTGCACATTCCCTCCTTCCACCACCCTTTAAGAATCTGAGTGCCTAGTCAGAAAAACCCACTGTGCCATAGAGGTGAAAACAGCACCGCCTTTTAAGTATCATCAGTAGATAAACAAATTCAAGTTCCAGCAGAGGAGAACCTGTTCTGACCAACATCCCACTGCAGGAATCCAAGACTTCTTACATTTGAAAAGGAGGGAGACAATCAACTCAGCAGACTCTTATGCAGAAAACAGGCTTGCTACAAGCCATCTTCTTTATTTATTTATTTGTTTGTTTATTTACTTACTTATTTATTTATTTATTTTGAAAGACAGGGTCCTGCTTTGTAGTTCAGGCTGGCCTTGAACTCACAGCCCAGGCTGGCTTCAAACTCAAGGCAATCCTCCTGCCTCAGCCCCTCAAGTACTGGGATTACAGCTATGCACCACCACACTCAGCTTGGGTCACACTTTTTAAAGTGTGGTTGTCCTCACCAGGCCAGCCATTTGTGCTTATACAGAGGATATTGCCTGGCTTTGGAGAGCACCATTCCCAGGGCAAATTGTACTCTACTTCTGGAGTTCAGTGGAACAGTCATGTCCTCACCTATAGCCCTAATCATGAGGGCTATCTCTTTTGAAAACAGCCATCGTAAGTATCCATTCGTCAATTACCCTGCGCCTGGCTTTGGGTAAACCACAGGAATGTGGAAAATAAGAATCTCTGCCAGGCAATCCATTTGGACCCCTCCTGTCTCTCAGGAGCTATTTCTATTTTCCAATAAATTTTCTTACCCTTTAACAACAACCAAAAATCTCTGCGACCAAGGAAATCTTGGGGCAGTAGGAGAAACCCAACTAAGTCAAACACAAACTTACAATTACCAAATACCACACTGAGGCCCCAGCAGGGATGTGGATGCCAACTAGGGTTTGAGACACCCCTGGGGGAGGGCTAGGAGCCACTGCTGCCTCCTAGAAGAAGCCAGCTTCGAGGGGTACCTAAGGTAGACTGTGTGTGGCGGGGGTCCAAGCCTAGGGGAGAACAGGTATGACGGCAAGGCAGAAGAACGTGGTACTCTGAAGGAACAGTGAGTCGCTTTGTTGTGGCTGGAGCTCAGAGCACGTAAAAACTAGCAGGCTAAATGGAGAGCCTGACAGGATCTGTAACCCTCAGACAACCACCAGAGGGATTCAGAGCTGACAGGTTCTCCTCCTACGGGCTCTCCTGTCTCTATCATGGGAGAACAAAAACTGTGCTTCCTTTTGAAAGAAGAGTGCCAAAGATTAAAATACCTGAAGTACTGCCACAAAACAATTTCCTTTCCGACCAAAAAGTTTGTTTTCACCTCTTCCAATAAAAAGTCCATTTGTTTCAAAAATAAATCTCCAGGCAGAAGATGAGAGGAAAAGGACTGTAAAGAGCCTAAGCTGGCAATCAGTTAAGAGGACTGGGCACCTCTGTAACGACTCTGAGCCAAGTGTACAATTTGGGAGTGGGAGGGAGCCAGCCCGGTGGAAAGCACATGGGCTCCTGAGCCAGGAAAACCTAGGTCCAAATCCTAGCTCCTGCATTCATTCCTAAGAAGGTGACCTTGAATAAATAGCTTTCCAACTCTTTCTCTTCATCTCTGTGATGTGAATACTGTTACCTACACTGCAGAGCCACTATCATGGTTATGTGAGATACTGAAAACACCTGGCCCACAGGAGCCATGAATGTTCCTTTCCTCCTGTCAGAGCCCTGCAGCCCAAGAGCCAACGGACACACCTGCTCCGCTGCGAACTGGCCTTGCTGCTCAGTAAACAGAGGAGAATGACACCACAGGGAACTCGGGGCATCTCAATAAGAAGACACTAGAGAGAGGGAATAGAATTTGAGCTTTGGCTGTACGATCTGGAGGAAAGTGGGGCTTGGCTCTGGTTTGGATGCTGTCAAAAAATGGGGGTGATTTTAGGATTTTTTTGTAATAATTATTGAAGGAAAACCAAAGCAAGGTGAAACCTGTACTTAGTAAAGCAGCAGCACTGTAAGGAGCCAGGAGAGAAGGTCCTTGATAATTTGTGGCTAGGACGATGTACAGATTTGGGTCTCTACTCAGAAGTGATAGGGAGCTAATCTTGTCTTGATCCATGATAGTCTCAGAACGTCCTTGTCTAATGTTGGTGACCTATGCAACTGTGCATGTTCCCCCAAAGGAGTCCAAGGCCTGGCTGTGAATACCAAGCCAACTCTTGCATGTCAGGGGCTATCTTTTCCCTGTCCCATTTCCCATCAAGATAAAAAGAGACAATACTTTTGTCCTTCATGTTTAGAATTAAAAAGATGGTAAATTTCAGAGGATAACTAGTCACAGCAATCACAAACATTATAAAAATATATCAAAATGTCAGTTTAACAAGAGCTAGTATCTTTTTACATAGCTTAGTTCTATCCTTGGTGAAGACTTGAAAACATAAATGCAAAATTTAAATTATGAAGTCCATCAGCCCTTTCTATTAATAAATCATAAAGGCTCTGAAGGTTTTATACATTTTCACCAAGAGCTACATTAATGCTCTTGGAATAGTTCCTGGAAAATAAATTACCACTACATCAGGAAGTTAGCTGATTGAACAAATCACCCCAAGGCAGTTGGTAAGAGGATTTGCTCAAAAGAGAACAAACTACTGTATATCATTAGAGGAGCACCAGAAATTTCCAGCTACTTTCTAAGGAGAAAAACAACCATAACAAAAGGATACAAAGTTCATTGAGAAATAAAGAGTTTAAATAGACACATATTCCTCATCCCATTAGAAAACAGTGGGTAATGAATCTAAAAAACAGAAATGTATCTCCTACTATTAGTGGTACTGGCAGTAACGAAGTCACAATTGGACTCTGTTTATCAATGTGGTATAATCCATTAAATAATAAAGATAGCCCCTATCAGCATCACCCCTGGTAAATCCCCCGGGTTCCACCTAGGCCCATGCCTCAAGAACACCCAGACTCTTCCCTTTCAGATGACAGAAGCTCTACCAGTCCGACAAAGGGTCAGCCCTCATTTACCTGGTTTCTGATCAGGCTCAGGCCAGGACTTGCGCAGAACGTGGACTGTGGACCCTGGCTGAATGCCATAGAAGTCAAGTGTCTGGTCATCTTTTAGCTTCCGGCCACAGTAGATCAGATCTAAAAAGAATTGTCCATTTATATTTTGTTTCTCAAAACAATGTAGATGGTTTCTGTCCCTGAGAACTTTCTTTTGATTGGACAGACAGCTGAAGAATGACATAAGCTTTAAAAGATTCTTTTATTTAAACAATAAATTCTAACAATTGTTAGCAAGTATAAATTTGCAAAATGGTGGGTGTGGTGGTGCATGCCTGTAATCCTAGCACTCAGGAGGCTGAGACAGGTTGACTACCTCAAGTTCAAAGCCACACAGTGAGTTACACTTTGGGCTACAGTGTGGGCTACATAATGAGTTCAAAGCTAGCCTGAACTACAGAGCGAAACCCTATCTCAAAAAAAAAAAAAAAAAAAAGAGAAAGAAGGAAGATAAATTCATAAAATGAAGTTAGGCTGAGCATGGTGGTGCATGCCTTTAGTCCCAGCACTCAGGAGGTGGAGGCAGGAGAATCGCTGCAAGTTCAAGGCCAGCCTGGGCTACCTAATGAGATCTTGTCTTCAAAAAACCAAAAATAGAGGCCAGGCATATAGCTCAGGGGCATAAGCGCCTGCCTGGCAAGCACAAGGTCCTAAGTTCAATTCCAGGTACCAAAAAAAAAAGGCAAAAATAAATACACAGATAAATAAATAAAATGAAGTTATACAGACTCCATCCACAGAAGAGATCTCGAGCTTAACACTATGGACACTGCTCAACTTAAACAAATGAAAATACAACAAATAAGGATAAACCCAAACCAGGTATGACAGAGGGAAACTTCTTCATCAGTTGGAACCCTTAGCTACTATGAACTACATCAATAGTATAATTTAATTATATTATGCTTAAATTCCTCCTTCCTCCTCTTGGAATGCCCTTACCATCTTCATCTTCATTTCCTTCTTTCTGCCTTCCCTCTAATTAACCAATTTTAAAAAAAAATCCTTATAATCATGCCTTAAGACTTAAGGGATTACTGAGGAGCTTCTTTGATCAAGAGCTCCTTTCTTGGCCAAATTTTTGTACTTTCAGAGAATTCAAAAATCTCATAGTTTAGGAACTTTGTGATAAAGCAGTTCATCTACTGTGATAAAGTAACTCACTGTGCCGATGTGGCAGCACATGCCTGTAATCCCAACACTCGGGAGGCTAAGGCAGGAGGATCATTGCTAAGTTGAGACCAGCCTGGGCTATAAAGTGAGTTCAAGGCCAGCCTGAACTGCATATCGAGACCCTGTCTCAAAAAGACGAAAAAAAAAGTAGTTCATTGTGATAAAATAGTCACACAGGACTGAAATGGCAACTAATAATTTCATTGTATGAATTGTGCTTCTTGTTCAACACTCACTTCGCCGGAATGTTAGCATTGTGAAACAACAAATCTGAAGCCTTTAATTTACTTTTGTAATTCCAGAAGTATCTTCCCCCAAAAGAGATCAAAGTAGCAGTCCAAAACCAGCACACAGAGACTTACCAATCAGCTCTGGGTCTGGAACAGATTCCTGGAGTTTGCCAGCAATAAGCTGCTTCAGAAATGAAATGCTATAGTTCCCTAATGAGTACTCTCCCAGTTCTGTCTCTGGCAACTGAAGAATAGATTTAGGGGCAAGTGGCTGGTCAGCCAGGTTCACTGCCAGATGCCAGTCTGAGAGAGACATCCTCTCTCTTTCGCGCTCTCTCTTTCTCCCTGTGGAAGAATAAAGGCTTAGTAATTGGACAGACCACCATCCTACTCCACTCCCACTCATCAAAGGTCTGAATGAGACAATTTAGTGTGACACTGTTAGAGAAGCACCAGATGCAACAGCAGGAGGCCAGAACTAGAATCTGATGTCTGCTCTTTTTATTCAGGAAATGAGCTCTTTGGGCCTCAGTTTCTTCATCTTTAACGTGAAAATAAACTACCATCCAACCTGATAGGAATGTTGTGAGGTTCAAGTGAGATTACCTGATGCTCTTCCTTCTATATGTTCCTTATTTCGGATTTGTTCAATTCTTAACTATTATAACAGGTTTATAACAAGCCTTTCTTGCCTCTCTATGTAGCAAAGATCTATGCTGCCATCCAATTCATCATTTTAAAATAAATCTGATCATGAAACTTCTCTGCTTACAACCTCTCCAATGGCTCCAAACCATCTCTATGAATAAATCTAAACTGTACAGTCTACCCTACAAAATTAGGTCTGCTGCTGTCACTTCTCCTCCCCAACTGAGCCTGGCTCTGCCCCACTCCCCAGCGGGTAATACACCTCACTACTTCTCCATTCATAACAAAGCTCTCCCCCATCTTACACCTCGGCTCAAATCCTGACTTTGCATACCAGTTCGCTTCCTTTTAGGCTTCTCAGCAAAGTCCTACCAAGACAAACACAAATACAACCTCCTATGCCCCCTTTTCCCCCTGTTCTTTCAACAAGCTCTATCCCTCACTGCAAAATGGCTACACACACAGTTTAAAAACAAACAAAAACCTTTTTGGCATCGTTCTAAAACAAAGCTATACATATGTGTATTTCTCAGATTCCCACCAGCACCCTCCCACATGTCCCCAATTCTTGAAAGAAAAAGACTAGAATTTTTCGTCTTTGTTGTCCCCAAGCCTGGCATATATGGGTGCCCAGAAAATAAGTCAGAAAACTCCGAGGGTTAAAGAGTCTTGCAGGCAACTCCTTGTTAAAGTCATCATCATCATTGCTTCGAAAGAGGGCTTTGGTAGGAAAGAGGAAAAGAAAACGCTGAGTCTGATCAGCAGACTTTAAGGCAATCTCGAAGTATCGCCGGCCTCCAGGTTCAAAATAAGGAAGGAGTCGGCCCTCTCGTACACCAATCTCACTCACTCCTCACAACTGTTCCCTGGGGCAGGTATGATCATCCACAGTTTACAGGTGAGGAAATCAAGACTCACAAAGATGAAGTCCCTCGGCCCAATGTTGTAGATAGCTACTGGCGGGGGAAGGAACACTATCTGGTGACGATCCCACCTCTCCTGTGGGAGCAGTTATCTAGTCCACCCAGGACCAACGCCGAGCTCGTGCCAGCAGGGGCCCAGCGCCCTCACCCGTCCCGTGGAAGGAAGCCGGCCGCTGAGCCGCCGGTGTAAACACTCCCTCTGGCCCTCTCGCCGGAAACAGGAAAAGTCGCGCTGCACTCTGGGAGTTGAAGTTTCTGTTGCGATCCCGCCTCCTATAGACAACACAGATATAAAAGGCCCTGCCCTGCTTCCGGTTCCAAAGAGGCGTGGCTCCTGAGGTGTTTGAAGTCTCCGGCGCCAGGGTTTCGTGGAGTTTTTGCTAGAAAGCGTCCTTCCTGTCACTCTGACAAGGCACGAATTGAGGTAGAGGGGCTTAATGTGGGTTTTTGAAAAGCAGTAAACACGCGTGACCCCCGCACTCTCCTGAGTATCGACAAAGCCTGTTGATTCTGAGAGGACGCCCACTGCAGGGTTCCCGGCCCGAGGGCGCAGGGGACCTACTTGTAGGGGTATAGCAGGCCAGCTGCAAAAGTCGGGTGCTTGCATTGCAAAATCGGGTTCCTGACACACCCTGGCCTGAACTTGCAACTAGGCGGGATTTACAGAAAAATCATTGGTAGAATCGGTTTGGGGAGGGGACTTTCCACTGAACTCGCAAAGAGAAACAGCATCATGTAGATGATTGAAAAGTTCTGCATGGCTCAACTTGGATTATGTTAGAGGAACTACTGTTGGGCTTTGCTCAAGAAATAAGTTCAAAGAACTAAGGAAAGCAATAAGCGAAAAAAAAGTGAATATCGAGGCTGCCAAAAGTGGTGGCGCATGCCTGTCGGGAGGCTGAGGCAAGAAGATCACCATGAGTTTGAGGCCAGCCTGAACTGGAAAGTGAAGAAAAAAAAAAAGTTGATCATAAAAAGAAAGGTGATCAATCAAAGGCTGATCCTGTGCACACAGATGTGTGCACAATGTTGTAGATAGCTGTGTAAACTGAATGTGTAAACTGAATTCTTGAACATTATATTGTAGGGCCTGGGACTAGGGCTTTAATTGAGCAGAATAGTTTGCTTTGAGACCAGACAGACAGTCTGGGAGGAGGCTAGGTACCACTCTCCTCATAAATTGGGGGAGGGAGGCCTACAGTGTCTCACTGTCTGCAATGCTCTCTCACTTAAGCGCATGCTCTTCATGGTGGTCCCTAGTCCTAAGCCCCCTCCCCCCATGCTACCCATCTTTAGAGGTAGTTCCCTCTTTCAGGAGTTCTTCCTAACTATCCAACCCACAGGCTCTTTCCTGTTTACTAAGCTGCTTGCACATCAACCCCATATTTCATTGTTTCATTAATCTTTGTTTAATATTGTGCTTTAAGCGCCTGCTAGAGAAGCCAGGAACACTGTCTCTTTCTCAAAGTAAAACCTAATGTACTAGATTAGTGGTAGCAAACCTACCGCATGTGTGTGGCAGTGGGCACACAGCCCTCTTTTGGCATGCAAACCAAGACACCCCAGCATCACTCCAGCAGCTGAGCATTCAGATTTAATTGCAGTGTTGGCATTATGCGATAAATACATGGGTTTTGGGTTGCAATTTGGGCACTTAGTCTCTAAAAGTTTGGCAATCACTATAAGAGATGTTCATGAATTTCTTGTTTTAATTGATTTCATCATAATCTCCATGGAGGAATAGGCTATGACTATCTTGTCCACTTTAACTGCAGCAGTTCACCGGGTTGGTACATAGTAGGTTAGCAATAAATGTATGTTGAATGGATAATTGAGGCTAAAGTTATTTACAAACACTATTGTCAAAATAAAAAGAAAAAACACTACTGTCTTGCTGTAGCCTTTAATCCCAAAGAGAAGGGATAAGCCTTTCTAAATTCTCAATCATAAAATTTCAGAAATATTGTGAAGAGAAGTTATACATGAGGATGCATACAGGGAAAATCCAGGACCAGCCAAACAGATTCTTTGGAAACCAAATTAGCAAATAGATGCTGTTCTCTGAGCCAAAGTTCAGGTCCTAGAGAAAATTAAAACCCTGGACACAAAACAAACGTACTTTAGTGAGAAGAAAAGTGTACAGGCCCCATCCTGCCAGTTCACATTTGTACACATTAATATTCTTATCAGCCCTCTCTGAGAAAGTGCTGGATAATCACTTATTAAACTTTCAAGAGATTATTTGGTTTGCCAGTAACTGTTGGAAAATAAATTATAAGAATGGACATTTTCCTGGGTGTAAATGTACACCTATAATCCTAGCACTGGGGAGGCTGTGGTAGGAGAATGCTGTGACTTTAAGGTCAGCTTAGGCTACATAGTAAGTTCAAGGCCAGCCTAAACTACAAAGCAAGGTCATGTTTCAAAAAAAGCATTTTATTTTAAAAATGACATTTATTAAGCTTATAAAATCAAAATCAACATGAGGGTGAAGTCCTCAGACAGCTGGTGCGGATAGACACCAATTCAGATTCCCCAAGTATTTCAACCTGGAGGCCATCAACTACTTGGCAGCTGATGGTGACTTCAAGATCAAGTGTGTGACCTTTGAGTGATACCAGCCAGGCCATGGCCCCCAGTAAAGTCAGCTGCCTCTGCCCCCCCTGAGAAAATTAAAATCAACATGAGGATTTCTGGGTCTGGCATGATAGCCAATGAAAATTATTTATAACTACTCCTGCTACAAACACAAATGAGATATAAAATAATACACTTAGGCCAGGCACGGTGGTGCACACCTGTAATCCCAGCACTCAGGAGGCTGGGGCAAGAGGGTCACCGTGAGTTCGAAACCAGCCTGAACCACATAGTGAGACCCTGTCTCAAAAAAAACCCCAAAAAACTCAAATACTGAAAATTATGTAGCTGAAATTAAAAGAGAAACAGGAAATTCTCAATTGCCAGAAATGGAGGAACTGAAAATACAGTATTCAGCTTGATAACTGTTAAGCACCTTCCCAGAAAGATCTTTGATCCTGGAAATCTTTCTTGGGGGTTTTTATTTTAACACCAATGCATAAGGCTTCTCAGAGGGTGAAATTGACTTCTGTATGAAAATATTTGCAGCCTAAGTAAAAAGGCAGACTACAAAAAAATTTTTTTTAAATCATACATCAGCACAAGGACAGAGGGAAAGTTCTCCACTTGGCTGTAAGGGGAGGGCAGAGGAAGGGAAGTGTGTGAAAAGAATTGTGTTCACCGTGAATGGGAAATCTCAAGCTTGTGCTTTGTGTAAGTTTAAGGGTGGACTTTCCAAGATTGTCCAGAAATGTTCAAAATTGGTCTTGGGGCTCTTGGCAAAACAAATATAAATCCTCTTTGGAGCAAAACTACCAAAACTCTGACAGGAAAGAAGAAAGCCAAACTGATTTCACACAAGAATTAGCACATACTCATGGAAATAAGTCATTGTAAAAGAGAAAAAACAAGAGTGTTAGTAATGCTGAGCGTGGTGGCGAATGCCTGTAATCCCAGCACTTGGGAGACTTAGGCGGGAGGATCATTGCGAGTTCGAGACCAGCCTGGGCTACAAAGTGAGTTGAAGGCCAGCCTGAACTGCATAGCGAGACCCTATCTCAAAAGACAAAAAAAGAAAAAAGCGTCAGTAACACTAAATATGTCAGACAGTAGGAAGTCAGTAAGAAAGAAAATTTATTAAAGACACTAAAGAAGATAACAAGCCTTTATGAAAAAGACATGATAAAAAACAGTTGTATTTGAAAACAAGGAAAAATAACTTTTAAAAGAAATATTGTCACTGAAACTAAAAATTCAACAGATATGAATTTTTTTCTTTCTTTTTTTTTTTTTTTTTTTGGTCTTTTTGAGACAGGGTCTCACTCTGCCCTTCAGACTGGTCTTGAACTCACTTTGTAGCCCAGACTGGTCTCGAATTTGCAATGATCCTCTTGGCTCATACTCCAAGTGCTGAGATTATAGGCATGTGCCACCAC